GATTCGAATGGCTAGACATAAGAAACTGGTACATACAATCGGACCGCAGTCTAAATGTTTTTAATATTGACATTCAAAGATATCTGCGTTGTGCTGAAGGTTTAAGAACATAAAAATGTGATTGAGAAGGATGCTACTATCATGAGTATGGAGGCTGAAATTACAGGAGGGGAGGGCGATCGATGCTCCAAGGGTAGGGCGGGTGGGGCCGGGGCACAGACGGCCCTGGCCATGCTCCAGCGCGGCCCTCCCCGCGGCTCGCCCGGGAGGAGGCCCTGGCGTCTCTCTCCCACACAAGTATACAGCAGCTTTTTTTCCTAATTAAGGAATGTCTTAAAAAAAATATCCTTTTTTAAAGTTGATCTTTATACATTTAAAACTAAAATACTTGATTAAATTAAGGACTCTGAGGTTAGTAATGAGTGAAATCATACTCTGAAAGGTTGACTTTAGGTACAAATAAAAAAGGGAGGACGGGCCACACAGTTCTACTTTCTAAAGCAGATAATCTTGCCTGCAAGTTTGGGGGGGTCACTAAGCCCATAACATGTGCAAAGAAATGCAATCTTGGGAGCGATCCATGCAAAAGTACAGGGAAAACAGGTTAGGAATTTGTAAAGGCTAAACCAACCAACAGAAAATAAGCTTTATAAATACACTAACTGTAGGGTTAGCATTAGGTATACCACAGAGCAGACAAACGGCACTCTAGCAGGTTCAGGTGCTTCCCACAACTGCACAGGTAAGTCATGCCATCTTTGGTTGACTGCAGTACCAGGAAGGATATGGGCGTGAAGAAGGAAAGCAAGAGGCTTGAGGCAGAAGCGTGTCAACTTTCACTTGGCAGCTGAGCCTCAATGTCCACTCTGCAAATGGGGCACTTCTTGTTTGTGATTAGCCACTGATCGACACACACTTGGTGGAAGAGATGCATACACGGGAGGCGTCTGTAAACAGAAGAAGGAAAGGATGAGGAGTTCACCAGCAGAAACAGCTGTCTGAAAGACCAGGGCCTCCTTTCCTTCATCAGCCGTCGTTTTCTCTAACAGGTCAGGGAAGCTGTCTCGACAGGGATACGGCTTTTCCCCAACGGTATGGCTGTTGCAGTGCAGGCGGCTCGATTCTGCAAAAGGATCACACGGGGCAAGTTCTGCCCGCTGATTTCTCTTTCGAGGCAAGCGTTAGACTGCCAAGCGGAAACGAACACTTACAGACGGGGCCAGGGATTAGTTCCCACTGGGGACAAGGGGTGGCTACAACAGGGCAACGGGCAGCTCTCAGCCGCTCCATTTTCTTGCTTCTGAGCCTTTACTAGGCCTTGCCAGGGTGAAGGCCATAAATCTGGCTGGCCGCCAGGCGGGGCACAGACACTCTGTTGAATAAGACAGTTTCAGGGCTCAGCAGTCCCCATGACCAGTCCCCAAGGCAGAAATGTTGCTGATTTTGGCCAGCTACAGAGCTCTGCACTCCAGAAGGCAGAAAGGGGGCCCTAATACGCTGTTTCCCATGCACGCAGTGCTCCTGGTGGGCAGACCCCAGCCTGAGCATGAAAGAGCTCTCAGACCGTACCGAAAGCAGCGGCAGCAAGCAGCTGAGCCGTCCTCCCTCAGATCTCGCTTCTAGGACCTTGCGGCAAAACAAGTTACTCTAAACTGGTCCTGGAGTTGTCAGCCTCAAAAAGAACGAATGGATGGTTTCTCCTATTTGCCTGGGGAATTTTCTGACAACCCATAATGACACTCGAGACAAACTAGTAATGGCTGGCCGGAGGATACACCTCTCTAAATTCCCACCTTCTGCAGGACACTTTTACAAAAATGACTTTTGCTCAGCACCTGGTCCAGGACATTAGTTCAGTGTCTCCAGTAATTCTATTTATTTACCTGACATCTTCCCCTTCCTCTAATATAGACAAACATATGGTACACTTTTCCTCGGTGTCTTCCTCAGTTCCTTCTTCCCCATCATGTTTGCAGTGTAGTTTCCTCTGTGAGAACCAATCAGTTGTTACCTTATTAGCAGAGATGACATTATTGGCAAACTGAATGAGGTCTGTTTTATGCACAATTATCATTTCTGTTACACCAACTAACAATGCACCTCCCACCCCCCATACATGGAACTTTAAACAAAATGCAATTAAAGATGGCCAAGCAAATTTATCCAGCTGCTATTCCTGAGCTCCCAACCTCTGGTACAACCATTTTAGTATCCTATAAAAATTCTGACAATCCAGGTATTTGCAACAAATTTAATTTTGGGGGGAGAGTGGGGATCCAAATTCTTTTTAAATTTTAATTTCTGAACAGGAATTTTTTGGGGTAGCTACTTGTTTTATTGTACTATAAGATGCAAATAATACAATATAGAATTCAGGTATTAGCTAGGTACAGTGGTATTTACTAAGCAGGAATTAGTGCAGCTTAAGAAATGAGTCCAGATTTGCCGCTCCAACTGTAAAACACACAAGGCACATTTCTGGGGAAGAATGACCCAACACAGGTGGGTCGTGAAGCTATGTTATGTTAACAGAGTGACACGAAAGAGCTGATTTTTGAAAAGTTCTGGCTGTAGCTCAAGCATGAGCTGCCTCAGTCAACACCAGGACTTTATTTCTTTGTAATACAATCTGGGGTTAAAGTTGCTGAACACCGAACAATTACGCCCACTCATTTTTCCAAGCTCCATAATCAGCAGTCCTAAGTGTATTCTCTGGTTTGGGGAATATGCCCCCTGTTTATAAATCTGTCATTTGTGGGGCGCTACGTGCTTTTTTATTGTTTTCCCAGCAACAGACGTACACGGCTCCTTCACTGGAAATTATCAGATATCAGATTCCCGGCGCATCCTATCCCAACCTGTCAGGAAAGATTCCGCTGGAATCCTCCCGTTTACGTGCAGGAAACTTGGAGAGGCATCAATCCATGAATTCCCTCACAGTCCTGGAAATGAACCAGAGGCTGATCATGGTTAAGGCTGGCGAGAAAGAGCTGTCACGCTCCCTTCTCTTCTGATCACTCAATTATTAGCGCTTTGACTATTTCAGAACAGGCCGATTTGGGTGCCGCCGGGTGGTTCCTAGATTTCCAGAAGCAGACCTCTTCCAGAAACACAGAAACCATGCCATTTGGCCCCTTCTGGAGGAAAAACGGGAGGTTCTGTAGCCAGATTGCACACCTTGAATCTACAAAACATTTCGTATTATCTGTCTCTTTCTATAAAAGCATCCACTTGTGAGATTCTGAGATGTAAAAACCTATAAAGCGTTTCATTTTTTTGCCTTTATAGGGAAACGAGGAGGAGCTTTTGGAAGGGACAGGGACTATTAACAGAAAAGTTCTTCAAGCACCTCTGAGACATTCTCACCTTTTTGTACTTGTGGGGATAAGTGCATCTTTCAATTGTTCCTTGGGAAGCTCCACGATTCACATTTCCTAAACGTTCTTCCAGATGAATTAATTCCTGGAATCAAAGTGGAACCAAAAGATCTTGCTATCATGATGCTGTCTTCCCAATTTAATTAACATGCAGTTTATTTGAAAACTCAGATGGGGCAGTCTCTACAGTTCCAGGGTGTCAATGGCCATACCTGTGAAAATTTGCCATGGCCCCTCTACCTGTCTTTGGCTTCTCTGCTCCGATGTCGTAAAGATGGATGACGTGGGACAACGCAGCACAGCCCCGACGGAGGTTCTGGAGACCTTGGACTCTGAATGCCAAGGACTGCAGGCATCTCCATGAAGTGGGACAGAGTTCCATGGGTTTTCAGAGCATGACGGGGGGGGTGGGGGTGGGGAGGCCAGCCAGTTCACTGAATTAGACCTCCGCCTTGTTGGGTGGATGGCTTACTCCATGGTTACTAAAGATGGTGTAATCATGACCATAGGGAAAAGGCTGCATTTCGTGACCCCACCTCAAGGCAGCCTTCACAGGAAAGGACGGCTTTTGCCTGAAACAATGGCCGTTTGTCTCCAGGAACATAGTTCATTTGAAGGCCCTCCCTAAACAATAAACTAAAACATGAAAAATGCATTAACTCTCTGCATCTGATACTTCAACTTCTCTCTTCCACATAACCAACCGTAGCTGTCAAGCAGGCCCAGCTGCACTTAAGTAGGAGGAACTTGACAATTTAGCACCAACTCTCCCTTTCATTGAGCCAACTTAAGCAGTACTGCATCCCAGCCACATGTTTCTTGCTGTTAAGTGCGGCTACTGCTGTAGAAGCCAGAAAAAAGCCTTCTCAAGTTTGAATGCCTACCTGTCCTCAAACCACAACAAAGGCCTGAGGTCATGATGAAAAACAAAAAATAATCAAGTTAGCGTGACCCCTCCCCACTTATTCCCTGAAACAAAAATTCTGCCACAAATCTAAGGGTTATTCTATTACAAACCTCAAAATTGCCCCTGAAAGGGCCTCTGAATGAAGTTCCATCCAATCCCGATGAAATGTAACGGATGTGAGGGTAGCCCGCCATGTCAGGAACCTATTCAAATAGCAGAAGGGAGTTAAATCTAATTGCAGAACAGCTCCAAGTATTTTACTGTTCACGTTGCAAAAGGAAGGAATTCGGTCTAGGAGATGGCATCTCTTCCTTTTCTCCCTAAGCTTCTTGGCTGTTGTGGCTCCCAACCAGAAGGAGAATCATTCAAGGAAGGGAGAGACCATTCTCTTCAGGCTGGATCTAGTAAACAAGCTCTCACTCGAGCAGGATTTCAGCTGTGGAACTATTCTGGAAGGACTGACTGGCACTCTGTGTCTGTCTGACATAAGAATTATTGCAAAATAAGAACAAATAAAATAGTCCTACCGACGTGATGGCATGAACCCTCTTCTCTGCTAACCAGCCTCTTATCTTTCAGTATATTGTAATTCAGACATACGAGCTAATAGAGCTACGTGTAATGCTGGCGTTTACACTGGTCTTCACACATGCGAAGTATTGTCCCAATATTGAAACCGTGCCTGAAATACCCACACTGTGCATTTCAAAACCCATGTGACCCCCAATCCCATTTTTTTCTACAAAATAGAACCAAGGCAAGTCTCTCTGAACAGGGGCACAGATAAGATTCCTTTAATCAAGCCAGAATGCACCAGGCATCTCCCATAACAAATCGAACACGCTGCAGAGTTACCAGCGTCATCTTCAGAAAGTCAGACCCTCCAGACCTCGAGTGAGATCAAAGGCAACCAAAGTCTCAAATGAAAGTGGTCCTCCCACAAGAAAAACCCAAGCCCAACATGCCTGTCCTGAAAGACTATCGCTTTAGAGTTCCAGCTTGTTGGCTATGATGGCTAAAAATGTTGGAGGCCACGATCTCTGCACAATTAAAGGGTGTCCCATTCTGGCTGAAGTCTGGAAATCACTCCCCTGCGAGCGGAAGATCATACCAATGCAACAGATGGAACCCCCTCTGTTCTGCATGTGAAATCTCCCATCTTCAACAATTCATTCAGCCAGCTGCTAGAGTTCCTTTCTTTCCTGAACAATTTTAACGTGTGGTTAAGCTGCCTTGGAGTCATTTCTTTGCTTTTGCCTTCTAGCAAAATACCAACATGACAAAGAGCTTTTTTTTCTCCAGCTATGACCTAACAACAGACTAGGAATTCAGTAACACTTTCTCCGCTGGCCCTGTAGTTACAGGTTTCCGCATGTTTTCTTCTCAAGACCACAGAAATGAGGCCCTTGACCTTCGCACATCCCTCCAGAGATCACAGCATGCCCTAACCAGCCATAAGCTTCACAGCTCAACCCATCGGCTGCTTTTTAGGCGCAGCCACCGGTTGAGTCCAAAGAGAGGCTGCAACTGCACTCCTGTAGTCAGTTCCCACCCAACTCTTGGTCTCATCCCTTCCCCAAGAGCATTTTCAGTTAGGTTAAATGCCACACATCAGAAGTAGAGAAATGATACTCCGAGCTGCAGACTGTCAAAGACAAAGGCTTTGCTTAGGATCATACTTGGGGTCATACGGCCTCAGCCACAGACAGCCCCCAACTGCCTGGGAGGAAGAAAGTCACTGACATTTTCTTCGTTGAAGCTGCAACTGAAGGGATGTTTGTACAGGATTCTCAATTCCTCCCTTTCTGCACAATGCAAAAGGGAAAAGTCATTTTTTCTCCCCCACCCAGGAAAGAAACTTGCTGCAAAACCTCACCCTGACTTGAAGAAAACCTCAGTCTGACTCCAGTTCCATTAAAGAAGCAACCAGCCTAGCTGGCAACTTTCCATTCAAGAGTTGTCTTCTCCATTAACCCCAGCTACAACCCTGGCCTTTTTATGAAAGCTGAAAAGCACAATCCCAAAAACACTTCTATCAAATTCAACCCCAAATATAACAGCTGAGGTATCTCAAATTAATAACCACTGACTCTCTTACTCTAACCAGGGACTTTTCTAACTCACCCATCAAAAGCGATGACTGAATTAAGAACATAAATCAGATGCAGAGGGTCAATGTACTACTGGAGAATTTGATTAGAGTATTTTCTCAATTTGAGACAAAATGGGTTGGGCTCAGTTCCTCTGAAAGCCCCTGCCAATTTGAGTTAGAGCATTCCTTTTTTTTTTTCCTGCAAGGGTACTTGCATATCAACACCTGTGACTAATTTTAAGACAGGTGTGATCTCCTAGGGGTGCCCTCTCCAGCAAATCCCCCCAAAAAGAAACCTGCACAGACTTCCCCGTGAACCTTGCGCAGGATGACCGGGAAATGACCAACCTCCACAGCAGCCTGCACCTGTTCCTCTTACCATTAAAGGAAGAGCACCGATTTGCAAGTGGTGGAGCCGAGGGGGGGTGTGGTAGTGGGCCAGGTGAGGGTGCATCGGGCCCGGTGGGTAGGTGGCTGCAGTCACTCCTGCTTCAATTCCCAGTTCCCTACGATAGGAGCAGAAAGTTCACTTTTAGCCAGGGCATTTCTCACCTCATTCACCTTTGGCAGGGTGAAATTCTCTCCCCAAAGAAAATTGCGTGCAGGGTTTGGGCATCTGTTCGTGTCTTTTCTCTCTTTTCAGAGGGTCTGCTCTGACCTGAAAAATCCCAAGCCACCTCTAATTCACTTTCACCGCTCTCAGAGGCCAGCGTCCACTTCTTTTGGGAGACTCCATCGCCCCCAGAAGGGGGGCTGTGGGACGTCAGTCTCAAGCCTTTTCAGGGCTTCGGTAATAAAAGTGATGCGAAGCTATTTCAACACCCCCCTGGGTTTGAGTTACCTCAACTGTGACAGGCACTCTTCCTCTCCTTCCTTATTTTCATACATGACTTTATCATCCAAACACATAGAGCCGGGCATGCACGTTTAAGCGCCAAATGAAGGGAAAATGCCGTTTGGGTGCTTTGGATAACCAGGGATGGGGGGACCAGCACGCTACTAACCAAGCCGACCTCTCTGGGGCTTGTCGAGGATGCGAAGACATGGTCTGCGGCACATGAATGTGATGGCCGTGGCCGTAGTTGGGATGCATCCGGTGAGGATGTGGTGGCGGTCGCTCATGTGCTCGCCTGGAGGGGAAGAAAAAGCTGACAACCCCTCCCTGGCACCAATTCCTGGCAAGGCTTTCGAGAGGCTCATGGATCTATGCAGGCTAGACTGCCTGACTTTTCTCCCCTCCCCTCCCCTCCCCTCCCTTCCCCTCCCTGCAGAGTCACATTCACACTGCCTGCCCCCCCCAACAAAAACCCATTCTGTGCCTTGACCAGCATCGAGCAAGTGTATGGAAGGCCAAAAAGGGGGTCCTGCTCAGCAGTCTGGCTGGCAGACAAGGTGCTGAGTAGCCAAGGAAAAAACAATTCAGCTTGTGTCTGTAGGGGACGGAAATGCATCGTTTCCATTTACAACTGTCTTTAAGCCTATACAATTGGCACATTTCTAAAACACTTGTAGATATATTGAAGTTCTAGAGCCAGTTGGGTCTTCAGCAATTCCTCGGGTGTTAAGTGTCTACCAGGCCTATCTGGATCTCCTTCCTTGCAAACTCTAGAAGCTGGGCAGAAGGCCACTGACACAGAGCGAGGGCGCGCTTTAATCAGTCCTCTGCAGCCGGCAGCCACTTTCTTAAGGTACGCAGCCCCTGGCTTCTCTGAACTTGGCTAAGGGAGGAGGACGCTCGGGCTGCATTTAGGCTTTGCGGGCTCCTGTCACGTTACAGAGCAGCAGTCTTCCGCTACGTCTCCCGCTCCTTTCCTTCTGAAGCTCCAGAGAGCCCAGCGGGGTTGGCGGCTACCGCCCGGGCCAGGCCGCCACCAGGTGACTCTGGGCAGCAGCCTCTGGCTCACCCCCTGCCTCCCTCCCAGGGCGCCTGCAGGAGAGCGAGCGCAGATCCTGGTTTAAGGCTCCTGGAAGGAAAGGAAGGAAGCACCAACGCGTGAGACGTGCAAATCACCGCCAGCAAAGGCAGGGTGCCCACGTACTGCGAGCGGGGGCGGGGCGAACCGTTCTAAGCGTCAGCCAGCCGGAGCCACTCCAGAGCTGGGTGGCCTCAGAATCTACCAAATGCATAAATGGACAAGCCAGGGTTTGCCGAGTCACACGGACACACAACACAGGGCTCGGTCGAAAGAGCGGGGCGGCTTCCACCGTTCCAGCTGACGTACGTCGGGTGCTGCATCATGCGTCTCCTCTGGACCTCCATCCGCTGGATCACCTCGTG